GAGGCGAACTGGGTTTTTTTAGATGGCTGAAGTCTTATTTTACTTTTTAGAACTCTTGAGATTTCTACTTCATGATTCGGTCTTTTATCTCACTGTGTTAATATAAATTACATTATCCATTTTATTTTATGAGGTATTTATTACTAACAATAGATTCACTAAATAAATATTTACAATCAGTATGATTAGGTACTAATATAGGAGATACTAAAAATTGTAACTATTCCATAATTAATTTAATATATTAAAAAATAATAGAAGTGATAATTCTTTTGATAAGTTTTTAAGGCTGATATATAAAAAAATTTTCTCATCCCTCAGAAATCATCAAGTGTACGTAAAAACGCCTACAAATCTTCAAGATTTTTTATACAAATTTGGATATTGATCATGAAAAGGATTTCAATCGGAGTTTTTTAAAAAAGAATTATTGATACTTTGTATATCATTTTTTGGTATATTTACATAAAATGATTACTGTGAAGCTATTTGTATTGAATTAATTTAATGAAATTTGAATATAAATTTTGTAAAGATAAAATGTTTAAATTGTAAAGTTAATCGAAAGGTTAAATTATAAGAAAATTAAAGGAGAATTATATAAACCTAGTTGAGTTTCTATACAAAATATTAATAATTTGTAATATTTAGTAAATAATGTATTACTTTGACAATATAGGTAATATGGCCTCCTACAGTTGCATAGAAAACTTAAGTTATAGGATCATTTGTTTGTATAAAAATAAATAAATAAAATCAACAAATAAAAAAAATAAAAATACGTACCGATGACATGTCGTAGCGATGACATGACGTAGCGATGACATGACGTAGCGATGACATGACGTCACCGTAGTGAGGATATTCGAAATTTATAATGTAGATAATATCGATGGTATTTAAATTTTAGTAGTATAAATATAGAGATGAAAAAGGTAATAATAAAGAAAGGAAATTATTTTTTTATATAATTTTTGATTTGATTTTATATTTTTAGTTCGATTTTACGTTTTAGTTTAGTTTATGTTATTTTAGATTTTGATTATATTTAATAAATTAAATTGGCAACTTCAATTCGTGTTCATATTAAATATTCAACTTCTAAACAGTTACAATCTTCTATCATGTTTTATACAGTGTCCCCAGGGGCGTCGCTAGCCTATCTCAGGGGTCAACTTATGGGTGGGGGGGGTGGTGGCTTCGCCTCCATAGCCCCCAATTTGTGAGCCTTAAGCCGTGTTTTATATTAATATATTATACTTTGTAAAAATTTGCTAACTCTAAACAAGAATTTCGTATTTGGTCTTTCATTATATTTTTCATACAAAATAAACTAGCATATAAATAATTAAATATATCTAAAAATAATATTTTTTTGATACAAAATCTATTTATTTCAGTAGACAATGTTTTATAGAATGGACTAATAAGAATAAATTTATAGGCCTTACCAAATCAACAATTCTTGGAGAAGAGAATATAAACGACCAATCCAAATCATAAAACTATATGGTGATTAGAGCTTCCTCTTAGATGACATTTTGGAAGTTAGATAAGTAATCGAGAAAATTATTGTGAGATATTAAATTTATAAAAGATTATCTTCCATTTTTAATGATATAAACGACTACACAGTTGACCATTATTGCTTATCTAAAATATGCAGAGTTGTTAAAATATACTTTTTAAATGGATCTATATACAGATACATAGTCTAAAAATTTATCTAGATACAGATACAGCTTCTAAAAAGTTTTCTAGATATAGATACAATTTTCCATATATCTAGGTACAGATACATTTTTTTATTATACTCTTAGATAAGGTTTGAAAAACCTAGATTAGGATTGTGAAAATTCATGAAATAATCTAAAATATTTATTGACTAGATATTTATCAAAATATAACTAGAATAATGATTTTTAGATGAGATGGATTGTAATATCAGAATTTGCTTGTTATTGATAACTCGGACATAATATTTAATTAATATTTAAATATTCTTTTTTATATATAAGTTTTAATATTTTACATATATATATAATTTTTTAATATATATATTAATATTAAGTTATATGCTCATGTGAAATAAAATAAATTTTACATTCAAATATATTTATTTATAATATAAAAAAGCGTTAAATATCCTAAAAAGTATGTAAAAACAGATACAAATATCTCTAAAATAATATCTAGATACAAATAATTTAATCAAACTTTGTAGATACAGATCCCTTATTTTTATATCTAGATCCTTTAACAACTCTGAAAATATGCAATCATATGCTCTCAGCAGCTGTAGTAATAATCTTAAATTATATAGCACAAATAATAGATTCTGGTAATTTACAGTCATAGCCATGACTCTCATGATGGTAACCCATATCAGAATTTATTATGTTCGATAAATTTACGAAAAAAACACTATAAATCTTTAGAAGAAATTATGCACATATGTTTAAACCTTGAGTTATTTACACGGTAAGGATGCCATATTAGAAATGAAACATTTTGTAACTATAAAATAGGAACCAGAGTGATATCATGAAAAAAAATAAAATTTTATATATTATTGTCGCACCATATTTAGTTGGTATATTATATCTTAAAATAATAGTAATTTGTAATAATATTGAAAATATATTCGTATAAAAATTTAACTCAAAACTCTTTTTCATAGAAGAAAATTAAATATTACCTAAATAAACATAAAAAAATAGAAGAAAAGATATTTCATTTATTATTTCCATTCTAAGATGAATAATAAGACGTTTTATTATAATAATATTGTTATTAAATAGATGGCGTTAAATAGTTGAAAGCAAATTGTTACTTATATTTATTATCAAAAGCATTTATTATAAAATTTTTAAAAATATTAATTGCAATATATTATATAACTGTCAAATACGTCTGCAAAAGTGGCATTTTACCTAATATTTTCTAAATAATTATATATAATAGAGGATTGTAAACTGTTTGTCTAATTACTTTTTATAAATAACTCTCTTATACTTATTTGGATTTGCACCTTGAAAATAATTTTAGAAAGTGACATGATAATTAAATTTAAAAATCAACAATATAGTTGATTAGTGATGTTAAACTCGGCTAATTACCATATTAAACTTGTTAATTTTCAAATAATAAATTATTATTCCTTCCTTCCTTCCTTCCTTCCTTCCTATTTAATTAGGGTTATATAATTTAAAATAAAAGTCAATTAAACTTAATGTTAATGCCACATTAATATTTAGTGTGTGATATTCTATTTTTATTACAGAATTTGATTGCAAGTTGACATAGTGAAAATATAATTTATATGTATTAATCTAATCTAATAATTAAAGTATTCAATAGATAAAAATTTAGATGTCTTATTAATTTTTAAATAAAATTAAATCTATATATTACTAAATATATATTATAAAAGAAATCGTTCAGTTAGCAATCAAAAAAATTTATTTTTAGTATAAGTAAGTATTAAGGAGTCTTCAAAAAAAAAATTTTATTCAGGGGGCTATTCAAATTTTTCAAGGGGCTCTAGCTCTAGCGCATCCCCCCTAGCCACGCCACTGAGTGTCCCCCTTAACCCTTATTATTTTATATTAGATAAAATGACTTCATTAGAATCATTATTAAACTAATTTTGAAAATATCGTAAATATTATATAAAAAATATTATATTGCATTTAAAAATGCTAATCAGCAGCCATCATCATGCATCACTTTTTGTGAGGCCTCATTCTCTGCACTTACAAGAGTTCCTTCGAGTACTAGAGAGTTTATGAAAAATCGACGTACACAAAATACAATATTTAGGGCTTCTGGAAAAAAATAATTTATAATTTAGCTTTTAATTCGTTCATTTTTAAATTTAAAAATAAAAATCATCTACAAATATTTAATAAAAGTGGCGAAAAATTTTAATGAGTGTCGAACTATTTGTTTTATTTCATAAAATTATTGCAGCTGGAAATTCTTAAGTACAACCCTGTCCCTACATTATAGAAAAAGAACAAATGACCTTACAAATATTTTTTGTTTCTAGAAAATCTCCTTATTTGAGATTAAATCTGTGTCTCCCAGTACTCCTCTAATACAAATATTGACCTTGTTATAATAGCCAAAGGGTCAAAAATTAAAAAGTACCACGAACTTTCAGATTATCTCAATAGTTATTTATATCAAATGGCCCTTATATCAGTTTTTAAAAATCTTAGGTAAAATAAATTCTCAAATCAATGGGGATCGTGGATTCAACCTTACAATCAAACCAAGTTGATGTTATCTGAGTTTTCTGTTTTAGTTTTATGGATCTTAATGTTAGCCTTCTTCAATTTAAAATTCGGTGGCTTTATGTTTTTTCAAAATATTTTCTAGTCATGTTTTTAGCTAATTTTTTATTATTTTTAAAGAAAGGATAATAATTTAATTTTTTTTTTAAATATTCTTAAAGAAACATAACCACCCCTCTAGATTTAAAATGTTTTTTACAAATGGATAAAACTATTCACAAAAAATGATAATATTAATAATCTGTTTTTAATATATTTCATTCTCCCCTATTAATTTATAAATTACTATTTAAATTTTTTATTCAAAAATATAGGTCATTTGCTATGATACACATCAAACTATACATATAAATTTATTCACAAATAAGTCATTATTAATAGTGTATATATAAAAGAGATATATTTTGATATCTATCTGCAGTGTTGTGATGATTTAATGAAACATATTGACGATTAAATTAAGACTCATCCATATAAAATTATTTTCTTTGCAAAAATAATTAACAAAAGTAGTAATAAAATAAATTTCAATGATGTTTTGTCTATATTTTAATTATTTTTGCAAAGAAAATAATTTTATATGGATGGGTTTTAATTTAATCGTCAATATGTTTCATTAAATCATCACTATACTATATATATAAATAATCACATTGGAAGAGATTTTGACATCAATCAATAAACCGTTCTGAACCATTTTCGCCTTTATGTCGATTATACAATTATTTTTTTTAACACTTTAAAGGGATTGAATTACTATGGATGACTATGAATCAATTATACTTGTTAAAAATAATGTAAGCATTTATAATATTGCTCCGGTTTATGGAAAGACGAAATATAAAGCTGCAGATTGGAAACTAGATAATCCTGATTGGACTGGGCGATTAAAATTGATTTCTATTCGCGATAAATGTTCTATCAAATTCGAGGATGCAGATGGCAAACTTTTTGCAGCATGTCCTATTGACAAATACCCTGGTAACTGCATCGAAGGTGTAAGCGATTCTAGTAGATATTTTGTGATTAAGCTTCTAAGTGAAAATGGTAGATCAGCCTTTGTAGGATTGGGCTTTTTAGATAGATCAGATTCCTTCGATCTAAATTTAGCACTTCAAAGTCATTTTAGATGGCTTAAGGATAGTAAGGATATAGAAAAAAATTTGATTCAAAATAAAATGGAACCTACCATAGACATGAGTCTAAAAGATGGACAGACTATAAAATTAAATTTTTCACTGCCTAAGAATAAAGAAAGTCCAAGCAATAATAACTCTAAATTAAAACCGACATGTTTGGTAAAAGTGCCAATTTCAACATCTACAAATTCAGATTCCAATATAAACTCAGTGATCAATCAAAAAAAAATCTTAATGGCGCATGAAACATCAACTAATCAAGTATTGAATTTAAATACAAGCTGGGAAACATTTTAAATTCCAAAAAAAATATATATTGACTAAAAATGCTAACAAAGACATAATATTTATCATATGTAATATATATACCACTCAGTTTTATTAATGTATTACATCAAAAATATAATATTTAATAAAATTAGTAATGTTTATAAAACATTTAAAATTAAATTATATGATTCATTTAATTATTACTATAAAACTAAATTATAATATTATTTTTTTTATGATTAATATATTTATCTGCTATGCAAATAAATAAATTTTTTTTTTTAAAGTTATGAATAAGTTTAATGATCACTTTAAATTTATTTATATTACAATTCTGAGTTAACTATTTTGTCTTAAAATTTTTACATTTTTTAAGAAATCATTAATAATATCTTTATTTTTAAAGCTAGAAAAAATATGATGGTTTGTCATATGAAAAAAGTAATTTTGAAATTCAAACTACAAATTTTCCTTTTTTGACATATATCCCCCCCCCCCCTATACTTTTAATGCCATAATTTGAGTTATTAAGAAAAATGGGAAGGAAATCAACCATATAATGATGAAAATCAATAATGGATGGTAAAAATCTGACTTAATATTTGTCAACAATTGGGGGTTAAGCCCTACACAGACCCATACCCTTAGTAGGTGAACACTCATCATACCTAAATCAGAAGTCTCCTAACTTATTATGATTTAATGCACAAGTTTATTTGCTAATTATATGTTTACTGGACACATCCAGATATGATATTAAATTTTTACTAATTTCCTGGACTTGCCCTTTACATATGACAAAATATCAATTTTATAAAATATTGTGCCCAGTTTATTAAAACTTTACAACAATCTGGCACATTAAAATTTTTTGTACAAATTTTCGGCCAATGCTTCTTAATGTCAATTAAGGATCTTTGTTGCTTGTCTCTATAAAAACCATTTTATAAATCAATTGTCTTTTTATCTGTATTTGTAATAGATGGATGTTCAACAGATTATAAAATAGTAAAACAAAAATTTCTTTGACATTGAAAATTAATATATCAAAATTTTAATTTCTCACTTTTTTTCATATAAAAATCAGAGACAGGCACACGGGTTGGTTTGCATTTTATATCCTAGCGTTTTTATTTTATATCTAGGCCGGGCCTTACATTTTAAAACCGATTATTTTATATCTCGATTATGAACTAAATACCCATATCTAAACCAGAGCTTCCAACCAAACGGCGAAACTGGAACGAGCCGCTATAATTTTCGAAACCGTAACCGAACCGTTATATTTTTGAGCCGGTTCATAACGGTTTTTAAATTATTGAACTTAAATTTAAAATTTAATTTTTCCTTGGGGAGTTCAAAATTAAAAATTTTTATTTTTAACCATTAAATCGCCCAATTATCTTCCTATCAATCAAAATGCAAAGTTTATTGTTTTTTTTTAGAAATTAAGCAAATTCTTAAGAAGCAATCTTCATGGCTAAATTAGATGATTATAAAAATATTTGTATATATTAAAAAATAATAATTTCCCTAACATTAATATATATATATATATGGTTTATTAAATTTGAATTACTGGAACGAATCGAAAAGAACAGTTATAAATTCTAAACCGGACCGAAT